CATGTGTATGTGTGTGTGCGCGCGCGCGCGCGTGTGTGTGTGTGTGTGTGTGTGTGTGTTTGTTTGTGTATAGTGCATGTATTAGACAACTGCTTGTTTTTGTGTGTATCTCTACATTCAATCCATGCCAATGCGTTTTGCAACCGCATACGGAATAAGTTACGTTTTGAGACATCACGTACCATTGACATCTTGCTTATTACTTGCCCATATTACCTCACTAATAGTACGCTCAGGCATATCTACAGGTTTACGTCTTCTTAACGTATTCTTCCGCTGGACTGCAACTCGCTGGCCCATACCCCTACTCACCCACTCCCACTCACTCCCGCTCACTCCCACTCACTCCCACTCACACACTCACACCTACGCCAACCCACACCCGCCACAGGCCAAAGCTTTAAAGCCTCACTGAAGAAGCTATCCCAGCTGTGCGTGTACGAGGTGCTCTCCGTGAAGCGCACACTCAAGTACCGCTCGCAGGTGCGCGTGCAGACGCCTTCTGCGTGCATGGGGAAAGTGGGGACGTTCTCGCGCACTGTGTGCATGTTAGTCACCAAACCCATCGACTACCACGATGTCGCCAGTGCCCTTGCTGCGGACCTGAACACAATGGTATGTGTCTGCAATGTTCACGTGTAGTTATATCTGTCACTTTGAATATACGTGTAGGTGTGTTGTTTGTAGGTGTGGTGTTTGTAGGTGTGGTGTTTGTAGGTGTGGTGTTTGTAGGTGTGTTGTTTGTAGGTGTGTTGTTTGTATGTGTGTTGTTTGTAGGTGTGTGCATATGAATGTGTGTACCTGTGTTAGCGTGTCCAATCAATAGTGTAGATCCCATTCGGCGTAGTTTCCCATAGTAACGATAGTAACAAAGTGCAGAGGTTTGGTTTGCTCAGCACCGCTTCTACAATGATACTCCACCGTGGCATGAGTCACGCGATGGTATTAATGCACCCGTAGTCACCCGCCAACACCTCAACACATACACGCACACGCACAAATGCAACTACTCCCATACTACCACCTCTATAAACGTACAAAGGCAAATACCCTAAACCCTTAAACCGTAAAACATTATATACAAATGTGTCTGCTCACATATATACGCCTGTATATACACACAGCCACGCCCCAATGATGCGCTGTTGTTAGCGTCTTTACTGGAGACTCCCCTTAGCAGTCTGCGGGCTAAAGGTTTCCCCATCGATCGCTTAATGAAGACTAAACCAGCCGTACAAATGACCTCGGCACCCACCCCACCACCACCA